AGAGAAGCAGAGAGAAAGATCTTCCAGCCGCAATGGCCAGGGTGAGCCGATCTGAAACCAGGAGCCAGAAGCCTCTTCTAGTCTCCCATGTGGGTACAGGGTCCCAAGGCTTTGGGCCATCCTCTACTGCTTTCCCAGGCCACAAGCAGGGAGCTGGAAGGGAAGTGGAGCAATCAGGACACTAACCAGAGTCCATCCCAGTGCCTGCAAGGCGAGGACCTTGTCCACTAGGCTATAGCACTGGGCCCTTTTATTTGTGTTATTTTATGACACTCTATATGTCCAGTATCCCCTAGCAGCAGGACAAAGAGTATTATCACTCCTCTCCCATGGGATGAAATGCCTAAAATAGGCACCAGCACTGCAGTGTAGTACACTAAGCTTTGGCCTGCAGACCCCACAGGATCTCATATGGGTGCAGGTTTGTGTTCTGGCTGTTCTGCTTCCCATTCAGGTCGCTGCTTATGGCCTGGAAAAGCAGCAGAGAATAGGGGAAGTCTTTGGGTCCTGCACACATTTGGGAGACCCAGAAGGAGCTTCTGGTTCCTGGCTTCAGATAGGCCGAGTTCTAGCCTTTGAAGTCTTTCAGGCGGGACGTTAACCAGCAGATGGAAGATCTCGCTCAGTCTCTCCTTCTTTCTGTAACTTTTTTTTTTTAAGATTTATTTATTTTTATTGGAAAGGCAGATATACAGAAAGGAGGAGACAGGAAGATCTTCCGTCCAATGATTCACTCCCCAAGTGAGGGCAATGGCCAATGCTATGCAGATCCGAAGCCAGGAGCCAGGAACTTCTTCTGGGTATCCCACGCAGGTGCAGGGTTCCAAAGCTTTGGGCCATCCTCAACTGCTTTCCCAGGCCACAAGCAGGGAGCTGGAAGGGAAGCAGGGCCACTGGGATTAGAACCGGCGCCCATATGGGATCCCGGCACATTCAGGGCGAGGACTTTAGCCACTAGACCACGCCACCAGGCCCAACTCTTTCAAATATTAGATAAGTAAAATCTTTAAAAAGAAAAAGGTTAAAATACTGATATTACTACCACAACTCAAGTAACAGCTACAATTTAACATACATATGCTATGACAGAATAAGTGCTTGAGAACTTTAATATGTCATTTCCTGGTATTCTGTTACTTTAACCTAAGTTATCAAGAACAGTAAACATCAACAGAGAACTATAAAAAACACCAGGAAGAACCGTATCACCAAAAAAAATAAATGTGGTAGATTAAAGGAAAACTTCCCAATGAGAAATAGAATCTAATATGGCTCTCTCTGGGCTGACCAAAAGAATGCAGAAGTGAGGGTCCAGCGCGACAGCTTAGTGGCTAAATAATCCTCCAGGCGGCCAGGATCCCATATGGGCACCGGTTTGTATCCTGGCTGCTCCACTTTCGTTCCAGCTCCCTGCTTGTGGCCTGGGAAAGCAGTCGAGGACGGCCCAAAGCTTTGGGACCCTGCACCTGTGATGGAGACAAAGAGGAAGTCCCTGGCTCCTGGCTTCGGATGGGCTAGGTTCCAGCCATTGTGGCTATTTGGGGAGTGAACCAGCAGATGCAAGATCTGTCTGCTTCTCTGTAAACCTGCCTTCCCAACAAGAAAACATATTAACAACAATGGAAAAGTACAGAAGCAACTTCCAAGGCTAGGCCTCTAGGCCAATCCTAGGCCTCTCGCTATTTCTACCCAAGTTATATTAAAACATTCACTCTCAGTGAGCCTTGGACTCTGCTTCAGAGTGTAGGTCAGGTCCCAGGTACCCCACCCCCAGTGATTCCAGCTCCTGGCCACTTGAGTCACCCTGGGCGAGGCCCAGTGCACTGAAGAAAAGAGACGATTCTAACTCAGAACCATAACAAAATTGAAGATAATGAACAAAATAAAAGACTATCTTAGTTAGTAAAATTAACAAATTAAATAGCAACTGGTAACCAGAACTACAGAAAGCTTCCAAATCTTAAACTAAACATAAAAGGAAATCATTCAATCTCTTTCTAGAATGGGATTGGGGAGAGCGAACCTCTTTGTTGAGGATTCAGTTAGGCTGAAGCAAACAGTCGTACAATTGTTAGAATTAACAGACAACTGCAATCCAAGCCAAACCGGATGACTGGATATTTAGAAAATTTGTTGGTACAAATTATCCTTACCCTTTGAATATGATCATGCCTCTTGCTGTAACATGAAGTTAGGCTAGCACTTTCTGTTAACTGTTTAAAGAATGGTCCTTTACATTTTGCAGGGACCAAGTACCCTCATGCCCAGTACCTCATAAGCCCTTTCTACTCCCCACCAACACCAAAACACACACACAAACATTGAACATTCTCAACAATTTCCACGGCTTCTCTGCCATGAGTCTAGGTCCCTCCCATTTAGAAACAGTTGATAAGATTATTGATAATGGTTCCAAGATTCACTAGCACAGGAACTGTTAAAAACCTATTTCACCCAAATTTCAAAACTAATGATTTTTCACTACTCAATAGACAAATCTTCAATTCAAAGTTCACCTGTTTTAACCTGAAAACTATTGGTCAACTTCATTTTCCTTGCACCTCATTAGAGCAGCCTTAGAAGACAAACATATTACTCTAAAAGAACTTGTTTTAAATCAAGGTTGTTCTCCAGAAGCTGAGGTTCAGTTTCACTGACTTTACAGTGGTAAGGTGGGATCCTTGCTCTCACGTACAAGCCTCTTAAAGTCACCTGCTTAGCTTCACTATCTTTAAATCTCTAGCACTGAACTTAAACTGGACCCTACCACTAACAAGCCCAGTCAGTAAAGCAACAGCATCAAGCTGTTCATTTCATAAACTTTCATATGCTTAAAAATCGTTTAAAACGCCATAACCCTTCTGTCAGGGTAGTTCTACCTATCGACAATTACAGTACTAAACATTGAAACTGGGCCCGGCGCGGTGGCGCAAGTGGTTAAAGGTCCTCGCCTTGCACGCCCGGGATCCCATGTGGGCGCCGGTTCTATTCCGGCAGCCCCGCTTCCCATCCAGCTCCCTGCCTGTGGCCCGGGAAAGCAGTTGAGGACGGCCCAAAGCTTTGGGACCCTGCATCCGCGTGGGAGACCCGGAAGAGGCTCCTGGCTTCGGATGGGCATAGCATCGGCCATTGCGCTCACTTGCGGAGTGAATCATCGGACGGAAGATCTTCCTCTCTGTCTCTCCTCTCTGTATATCTGCCTTTCCAATAAAAAAAATAATAAAAATAAATCTTAAAAAAAAAAAAAAAACATTGAAACTGAGAAATGTTTTTAAATATTTACTCATTTCCATATAACAATAAACTTGTTTTTATTTCAAAAATTTTTCTTCAAAACAAAATTAATGAGTGGCACTGTCTCACACTTTTGCCAAGCTGTTTAATGTCTGGCTTAATAGAAGGCAGCTGGATTTTCATATCTGCTTCCACTTTTCAGTCTGTTGCAGCTATAGCACTAATCGGGTGAGTTTCCAGAAAACTCCAATTAGCAATAATGAAAGAATAAGAGTGAAAGGGAGCATAGCAACAGCTCCGCCCTCAGACACCCGGGAAGGAATGTTTGTGCCCTGTGTCCTTTATGTCTCCCTCCTACCACCTGACTTCAAACTCTCATCTGCCTACAGCAACTTCCCATGCGTTCTAGCCACTCGTAAGCATCAAAATAAAAGGCTGGTGAAACCAAGCTTTTACACCTGTTCCTTCCTCCCTGGTAACCAAGTAAACAACTATCCAGGGAGATATTTATAATGCCATTCCCACAGCAACTTGGGAATTAATCGAGATTATCAGGAAACAGATCTATCCAAAACTAGACTTGTCAGGCTTTAAAAAAAAAATACGTGGGTACATTTTGTCCAATAGCACAAATCGGCAAGAAACCTCACTTGCTCTCACCAAGCTGTACAAAACTGGGTTAAGAGCCAAGGGAATTCTTGTGTTAAAATTAAAAGTATGGGTACTTCGTGGAGTTGCATGAAAAACCGTTTTCTGAATAACCACTGCTAAACAAGTAAAAAGGCCAAAAACATTCATCCAAGTGAAAGCGGACAGAGCAAAGACCCAACAAGAACTTTAAAAAGTGGCCATTAACATTGTTAACAAAAACAGTATGAGCAAGAAAAATGTAGCAAGGGGGCAAAAAAAAAAAAAAAAACACTACCAAAACCGAGCGTAAATCTCAAGGATACTTGTAATATATAACACGTCAAGGGAGCACATCGCAGGAATGGGCAACTTCCGACAAAGGCTGGGCAACACAAAGTTTTCCTATCCTTTTCCTCCAAGTCATCTTCAGCCGCTACGTTTTCTTTTTTCTCGCTCTAGCAGTTTTGTTCCACGTTGTTTCTGAGTTATTCTGAGTGTTCTCTCGCAACTGAAGGCATGAACAAATGGGAAAGTACAGACGAGAGGGACAGCTCTGCACCCCCACACCGGAACAAAAAAAAACTAGAGCCGGAGCTGCCCGGCCCTAGCCGCTACCCGCACGGAACGCACCGTCCTTTCTAGATTCCCAACATCAGATAATGTCTCCCTCGCCGCCCAAGCAGTGGGGTGTGGGGTCCAGCCCCCTCGCCAAGGCCTCGGGAGGCTCCTGGTCAGGGATCCTCTCCCGTTACATAACCGGGGCCTAAGGCCTGGCTTTGGGAGCAGGAGCCGGCCGGATCCCCCGGGGCAGCCTCGGGAGGCGGTGGGAGTGGGGCCGGGCACCTGGTCCACCCGGGAGAAGGCAGCGGCCGACGCCGGGGAGGCGCCGGGGCCCGGGGCCCGGCGAGCGTGGCCGGGCAGGGGGGCGGGCCGGCTGCCGCGGCCCCGCGAAAGGCCCCGACGGCCCCGGGCCCCGCTCGCCGCCCTCCCTGGCCGGCCCACTCCCCTCCACCGGCCGCTCCCTCCCCCAGGCTGCGCTCCCCTCCCCCGCGCCTCCATCCCTGGGGCCCTCGGGGAAGGTGGACCTGCGGGGCTCAGGCCCGACCACCTCGGCCGCGGGGCTTCCAGCCCGGTACCTGGTCAGACATGGTGACGGCGGCTTTCCCCAGGGCTTAGGGGACGGGGCGGTCTCCGTACAGCAGCGGCCTCCGGCAAGCACAACCTCGCTTCGGGGTTTACAAATCCTTCTCCCCGGCCCCACAGCACAACACCGCGGCTGCAGGGACTTCCGCTATGTGTCGCGTCACTTCCGCTGGGCTCCGGGGTGGAGGACTGGGGAAAGAAGAGGAGAGGGGCAGGCGGGAAAGTGAGGCGGTGGGGGGCGGGAAAGCGACGGCCGGGAAGGAGGGAGGGTCCTAGAGAGACTACAACCTGCGGGGGAGAGCTGGAAGAGCCGCCCCTCCAAGCCCCGAACGCCATCCCCCAGCGGGGACGGTCCAGGCTGGCCCCTCCCCCGGCAGCGTTGGAGCCGAACGGACCGCACGGACTCCTCCCTCGCCGGACCCTGCGCGCTTCCCAGGACACGGCCGGGCCGGCTCTTTTGTCTCCGCTCCCTGCCTCACCCGTCCGCTTCCCTAGAGACGGGGCTGGAATGCCAGCGCCGAGAGGCCCTCCTCTGGCCGCCCAGCACAAGACCTTGTGGAAAAGCATGGACGCGCTCTGGACGCTGTGAACTGGAGCGGAGGAGCGGCCGATCCCCGAGCCCTGGGACCGGTGTGGAGTTAAAGGAGGAGCCCACTCCTGTTTCTCCTTTACGATACAACGGCCCTGATGGCGTAGGCAAGTGATAGGGGGTCGGCTGGACGGCCGCCCGGGAGAGAATAGATTCACTGAATCTCTATCTGACGACATCAGTGAAACGAATGTTTTTTAAAGATTGATTTATTTTCATGGGAAAGTTAGATATACAGAGAGGAGAGTCACAGAGGAAGACCTTCCGTTCGCTGACTCACACGCCAGGTGGCCCCAACGGCTGGAGCTGCGCACGATCCGAAGCCAGGAGCCTGGAGCTTCCTCCAAGTCTCCCATGCAGGTGCAAGGTCCCAAAGCCTTTGGGTCGTCCTCGACTGCTTTCCCAGGTCACAAGCAGGGAGCCGGCTGGGAAGCTGGCTGCCGGGATTAGAACCGGCACCCAGATGGGATCCCCACATGTGCAAGGCAAGGACTTTAGCCACTAGGCTACGCGCCGGGCCCACAACATAAGTGAAACTAATTTAAAATGGATTCAGGGTCTGTAAGAGCTAGAATTATTAGGTGAAACACTTCACTTGGGTAAAAACACACTCGGAAATCCCACCACTTGGTTGAGACCAGCACTTGTTAGCATAGCCAAAGGAAAAAAATTATGAATTAGATGTTATCAAAATTTAAATCCAATTTTTACCGTTAAGAGAAAAACTGTACATGGAAAAAAATACTTAAAAACAATATGTCTAATAAAGATCTAAGATTCAGAATATATAATGATAGTTTTTAAAAAGTCAGGAAGCTTTACAATGGACAATTGAACAGGCATTTGTCCAAAGAAGAGATATAAATGGATGTGAGAAAATACTTAACATTGTTAGTCATTGAGGAAATGCACATTAAAACCACAAAGAGATAGCACTTCATACCCTCCAGGATGGCTATGCTCAAAAAGATGCTAATTGGGCCAGGCACAATAGCCTAGTGGCTGAAGTCCTCCTCTTGCTAGTGCCAGCATCCCATATGGGGCGCCACTTCGTGTTCAGGCTGTCTGACTTCTGATCCAGCTTCCTGCTTGTTCCCTGAGAAAGCAGTCAAAGACGGCCCAAAACCTTGGGACCCTGCACCCATATGGGAAACCCAGAAGAAGCTACTGGCTCCTGGCTTCGGATTGGCTCCAGCTGTTATGGCCACGTAGGGAGTGAACCAGGAGATGGAAGATCTTTCTTTCTCTGTAGATATGTCTTTCCAATTAAAACAAAGTATTTTTTTTAATAAAAAGTAATAATTGTTGACAGGGATGTGAAGAAATAAACCTCCTACCTTGCTAGTGGAAATATGTTTTGGAAAACTGGTTGGTAGTTCGTCCAATTGAGTCAACATATGACCCAGGAGTTCCACTCATGGGTGTGTACAATTAAGAAAGCTGAAAACATAGGTCCAAACAGAAACATATTTTGAAATATTCACAGCAGCATCATTCAAATGGCCAAAACAGGAGGCCTCAAATAACTCCCCTCCCCATCTCTGATCCCTCCTTTCACTCTCCTTCTCCCCCCCCCACTTCCTCCCCTCCCCCTTTGCTGCTTTCAGGAGCGTTCACCCACTGACCCTAGCAGGCTCACTCGCTCGCTCTCCACTCCGCTACCAAGGTCATATTATTTTCTTCTCTGCCTATGTGTCCCTCTTATAAAGACTCTGTGATTAGAGCCCGGCGCAATAGCGTAGTGGTTAAAGTCCTCTCTTTGCGAGCGCCCGGGATCCCATATGGGCGCCAGTTCTAATCCCGGTGGCCCTGCTTCCCATCCAGCTCCCTGCTTGTAGCCTGGGAAAGCAGTTGAGGACGGCCCAATGCCTTGGGACTCTGCATCCATGTTAGAGAGCCAAAAAGAGCTCCTGGCTCCTGGCTTCAGGTCGGTGCAGCACCGGCCGTTGCGGTCACTTGGGGAGTGAACCATCAGAAGGAAGATCTTCCTCTCTGTCTCTCCTCCTCTCTGTATATCTGCCTTTCCAATTTAAAAAAAAAAAAGACTCTGTGATTACACACTCAGAAAAACCAGGATATCTTCCCCATGTCAAGTTGTGCAATTATCTACAAAAGTCCCTTTGCCATGTAAAGTAAAAATTCACAGGTTACCCTGAGCATTAGAGAGCATATTTTGGGGAGAAGCCTGACTTAACCTACATAATTAACTTTTACCATTAAGTCAAGGAAAGTGAGAGTGGCTTTGGTGAAAGTGGTGCTTTTTTTTTTTTTTTTTTTTTTTACATCTCCAATGCATCACAGTGGAAAATAAAACTGTCACTCTATAAGCCGTGCTAGCAGTTTAGCAGCCATTCCTTTAACATCATCAGTGCTAACCTCAAGCTAGAGAACAAAGCAAAGGCATCTAGGTAATCACTATGAAAATAGCTTTGACTTTGTATACCTCCTGAAAAGAGCTCTAGTCCTCCATCAGTCCACAGATCATATTTTGAAAACTATTAAGTGGGCCCGACGCAATAGCATAGCAGTTAATGTCCTTGCCTTGAACACGCCAGGATCCCATATGGTCGCCGGTTCTAATCCTGGCAGCTCTACTTCCCATCCAATAAAAATAAATAAATCTTTTTTTTTTTTTTTTAAAAAAAAAAAAGGTTCCTTTGCAGAAAACCTACTAGACCACATTATTTCAGTGACTGAATCCCTGGAAGAAATGGCATTGGAAGTGGGGCTCTTCAGCAGGGAGAGTGAGACTATCAGGTGCAGAAGCAAAGAGACAGAAAGTAAGTCTACTGCATCAGTGATCTTGAAGAAAAAAGCAACGTAGGAGTTGGATGATATTAGAGATGTGAATAGAGATATGGGTGGTTGATTAGATTCTGGCTTACATAAATTGTTATAGTGATATCATTTACAAATTGATAGGAAACCTTGGAGAAGGGAAGTAAGTTTTCAAAGGAAAAATAAATTTTAGACAGACGTGTGCAGTCTTGGAGTCCACCGCAGGGAAGGATCCAGGACACACAGGTTTCTGATTTTAACCACTTAAGGAAACCTGGGCTGAAGATAAGAAATTGTAAGCCATTAGCCTATAAGCAACGGAGGACATGGTAAAAATGTGTTGAAAGACAGACCCTCCTTTAAGTACTGTCATTTACTGTAAAGTACTAGTACTATTCTCCCCTTATAGAGAAGAGACTGAATGACTCTCCCAGGTAAGTGATACACTCGGGATCTGAACACTGGCGACTTGACTTCAGATCAGCTAAGCCTCTGAGATTCACAGAAAGCCCTAGAAACTGTCGTCTTCCCTCGTCCCCTGAAAAATCACTCCAGAATAGACCGCAGTGATCTCGGGGGCTTATTTCATACCCCAAGTGTGTTTATGACAGTGAGAGCATGGTTTGAATTTGACATTTCAGAGGAAAATTCTGAGTGATAATTTTGAATATGAGTGACTAAAGGGTCATGAGAAATGAGAAACTAGAGGAATACAAGATTAGCATGTTGGATAAGCTATTACGTAGAAATTGAAGTCACCTAGAGGGAAGCAGGACTTGGGATTATAGAATAGCCAGTGCACCAAGGGGTGAGTTTGTTGGACAGCCGCACAGGAGGATAGGTTACTAAATTAAAGAGAAACAAAAGCAGAATTAGAGGGACTTGGAAATGTGAAAAACTTGCCCTAACATTTCTCAAGTTGAAGATTCTTGGAGAAATTAAATTGAAATGTAACCTGATTGTCTGTTATACATCTATGACCTCTGCCATGCTCTTATGGTAATATCCCCCTTCTCATCTCGAAGGAAGGAATGAATGAAGGAAGGAAGGAAGGAAAGGGGAGGGAAGAAGGGAGGAGGGAAGGAAGGAAGGAAGGAAGGAAGGAAGGAAGATAGGTAGATTCATAACGTGCTTTCCCACATGAGTATGGCACTATGAATCAAGTCTGGTACTCACAGAGAAGCTGGAACAGCTGCTTGTGACATGTGCAAGAGTAAAGCCCTATCTATGGGAGTCTTGGGTAATCTGAGAACCTTTATAAGAGGTAAAAGTACAGACAAAAATAAATTAGAAAGATTGGAAGACTGGTAAGGAGATGTCCTGTATTAGAAGTTTTACTTCCTTATTTCGCCTTGATGCCTTCCAAGAGCAGAGTGGCAAATGCAGAGGTATGGACATATTTGCCCTGGCAACGGGCTCCGTAACAGAACCCAGGCCTGGGTTCAAGGCCGCTCTGGGTCCTGACTCCAGCTTTCTGCTAATGCGGAACCTGGGAGGCAGTAGGGATAGTTCAAGTGAATGGGTTCCTACCTCCTATATGGGAGAACCAAATCAAGTGTCTGGCCCCTGGCTGTCGGTACAGGGGCTATAGGCATTTCAGGGAGTAACCCCGTAGATGAAACATTTCTTTCTGTAGATCTCTCTGTCTCTGACCTGAAATAAGAAAAATAAATATTTTTTCAAAGATTAATTTATTTTAATTGGAAAGACAGCTCTACTTACAGAGACAGAGAAACCATTTGCTGGTTCACTTCCCAGCTGGCTGCCACAAAGACCAGAGCTGGGCCAATCTGAACCCAGG